CTACAACCCATGTCTAAGCAAAAGCTTGTCGAGGAGCGAGGGGAAGAAGGGATTGTGTTGGCGAGGAGATTTTGCCGCTAGCCAGTATTCCACTGCATTGACGAATCAGAGATCTTTATATTGCTTTGCATCGTAAGGCATTCACGGTGTGGGACATCTTTGTGATCTGCACTGGCCAATCACAGAGCCGTATTTGCTCTGCATCGCTCGCGCAAGAGTGCATCGCGCCGCATCAGACCCGGCATTGTACCATACTATTGCTGCNCATCTTTGTGATCTGCACTGGCCAATCACAGAGCCGTATTTGCTCTGCATCGCTCGCGCAAGAGTGCATCGCGCCGCATCAGACCCGGCATTGTACCATACTATTGCTGCGTTGTTATCCCCCCTGAGGATGCTCTTCTCTGCGACTAGTCGGCAGAGATGCTGTCTCGATGAGCCCAATAGAGTGTGGCACAAGCAAGGGGAGGGGAAAGGCGAAGGAGTGAGAGGCATGTCTAGTGCGATGGGCACATCGGTCGGGCAGTCGCACTGCCGGAGCGTTCGAGCGTNGATGCTCTTCTCTGCGACTAGTCGGCAGAGATGCTGTCTCAATGAGCCCAATAGAGTGTGGCACAAGCAAGGGGAGGAGAAAGGCGAAGGACTGCGAGGCCATGTCTAGTGCGATTGGCACATCGGTCGGGCAGTCGCACGGCCGGGGCGTTCGAGCGTAGCTATCTTCTCCATCGCCTGCACAGAACACGGCTTGCTTCCCGCGTCGACCGCGTAGCCTATGATGGCCAGGCTCTGTGCTGCTGCTATAGTCCTGGTTAATGGATGGACTTGCTGCTGCAGCACAGCAGCAAAACTTTCTATAACAAGAGGTAAGGGGTTGAAGAGGTAACAACGCACTGAGACTTTGGCAGCTGCTGATATATCATCTTCTCTGTAGGATAGACCACATACATGTACCACTTCCTTTCTACCCCTCGCTACCTCGGCAAAAGTTTTGCTTAGGCATGACCCATAGCGAGGGGGGGGGTCTTTCTAGCGAGCAGGGCTAGACTCACCCTCAGGGGACCGATACCTTCTTGCTGCGGCGCACCCGC